CAACACTATGGGGCCAGCAGGTAGTGTGGTGGTTAAGGTACTGGACACTGCCACATGGCTGACCATGGTTCGAGTCCTGGACCTGGTGGCTTTCTCACTTTCCCTCTCTCTGTGTCTCTCTCTGGTCAAATTAAAATAAATGAATGAATAAATAAAATTAAATCATAATTCTTAAAAAAAAAAAACTCAACACAATGTCCTGCTTTAAGAAAAACAACAACAACAACAAAACCTTGCTAAATTTTTTGGAAAAGCTATTTGTTATATGATGAAGAATGCCTATCACAAATGAGAGCCTCATCACTATTTTATTTTATTCAGGGACTGAATTAGCTATCAAACTCAGCTAGATATATAAAACAGAAACAGAGGTAAAATGACTTAAAGAAGGAAACAAAAATAGTTCTTCGAATTACCATGATTATAAATATAGAATATATGGAAATCCAAACAAGAAAATTCTTAAATTTAGTACAAAATTTTTAAAAATCCTCTTATGCTGACCAGGAATTACTATTAAAAAAAACAAAGTTGAGTTTGAAGCTCTGAGAAGAAATGATATTTTACATAAAAACCATAGGAAAAATACTTAGAAATAGTCTCAGGAAAAAAAAAAAAAAAAGCCTCATAATAAAAATTGCCTTAATAAAACCTTAAGAGCTATTATCAATGAAGCTACATATAACTTTGCTCTCACATACAAAATAAAAGTTCAGTGAAGAGGCAAATTTTGGCCTGAACATCATGGCACAAGTGGTAGGGCACCAAAGTATGATGCTAGAGCTACATGGATGGCCTGAGTCCAAGTTGAACCTGCTAGGCAGACCCACCAACCCACATGGTACTGGATTTGTAAGAAGTTGCAGGAAGAATCACTATGAAGCCAAGCCCAGTCAAGGATATCTTTATTCTCTTTTCTCTCTAAAAATCAATAAATAGGGACTGGCATGTGACATGATTGTTAAGGATGCTGGATTCCCAAATGGCCAACTGCGGTTGGAGTCCCAGATCCAGGAGCTTGCATTCTCACTTTCCCTCTCTCTCTCTTTGTCTCTCTCTGGTCAAATTAAAATAATAATAATAATATAGTTAAATAAGAATTTTTTAAATTAATGTTTAAATTTTAAAAGAAAGAGGTGAGTCTATCTTCTGGAAGGGAAGAATGGATGTTATAAAGACAATTCTATCCCAAGTTATACTTTCTGGTCACTCCAAGCAAAATTTTGGTGATTATTCTAATATTTAAAAAAAAGAATTTATTTAATACATAAATCTAATTATATGAATATACTATTAATAGTTTAACTTTTTTTCTTATTTTATTTACATTTAATCACTGTTTATCTATACAGCACACAAAATGAATCTTGCTAACATGAATACATTGGATATCAGTCTAGTCAAAGACATAATCATACACACAGTAATGAAAAGACACAAGTAATAATGCCCTGCTATATATTTTTGTAAAAGATAGAGCTATGAAACAAATGCATGTGATACTTGTACAGCTTGTCTCTGAGCCTGATACTCTGAGTTTCTGCTTCACTCTCCTCCTGACCTGAGAGTGATCAAGAACCCTGGTCCTTGGTCCACCTCTGGACCAAGGAGTCGGAGTAAGGAGGTAGCCTGAGATAACCCTGAGTTCCCCTTAGACTTTCCTCCACAAAGCTTCCCATACCCCTGCATACCTTCCAGCTGTGGTGCTGCAAATTCCCTATCTAATCATCCACTCTTCCCAGACCTGTCTTACTGTGTGCATAGGAGCCCATGGCACTATGGGTATGATTGTCTAAATGTTTATGAAAACACACACCTGTGTGATTCTTTCAGATGCAGATGAAGGAGCACCTGTGTCACTATTTCCAGATACACAGAGACTCAGCCATCTTTTTCCTACAATCATAATCTACCAGGAACCACTAAGTATTTGCTTAATATGTACATTTCCCTTCATTTTTAATTGCGGTTGGAGTCCCAGATCCAGGAGCTTGCATTCTCACTTTCCCTCTCTCTCTCTTTGTCTCTCTCTGGTCAAATTAAAATAATAATAATAATATAGTTAAATAAGAATTTTTTAAATTAATGTTTAAATTTTAAAAGAAAGAGGTGAGTCTATCTTCTGGAAGGGAAGAATGGATGTTATAAAGACAATTCTATCCCAAGTTATACTTTCTGGTCACTCCAAGCAAAATTTTGGTGATTATTCTAATATTTAAAAAAAAGAATTTATTTAATACATAAATCTAATTATATGAATATACTATTAATAGTTTAACTTTTTTTCTTATTTTATTTACATTTAATCACTGTTTATCTATACAGCACACAAAATGAATCTTGCTAACATGAATACATTGGATATCAGTCTAGTCAAAGACATAATCATACACACAGTAATGAAAAGACACAAGTAATAATGCCCTGCTATATATTTTTGTAAAAGATAGAGCTATGAAACAAATGCATGTGATACTTGTACAGCTTGTCTCTGAGCCTGATACTCTGAGTTTCTGCTTCACTCTCCTCCTGACCTGAGAGTGATCAAGAACCCTGGTCCTTGGTCCACCTCTGGACCAAGGAGTCGGAGTAAGGAGGTAGCCTGAGATAACCCTGAGTTCCCCTTAGACTTTCCTCCACAAAGCTTCCCATACCCCTGCATACCTTCCAGCTGTGGTGCTGCAAATTCCCTATCTAATCATCCACTCTTCCCAGACCTGTCTTACTGTGTGCATAGGAGCCCATGGCACTATGGGTATGATTGTCTAAATGTTTATGAAAACACACACCTGTGTGATTCTTTCAGATGCAGATGAAGGAGCACCTGTGTCACTATTTCCAGATACACAGAGACTCAGCCATCTTTTTCCTACAATCATAATCTACCAGGAACCACTAAGTATTTGCTTAATATGTACATTTCCCTTCATTTTTAATTTATATGTTTAAATTTTGCCCAGAAACAATATAATACCTACATATCAAAGCCTCCACTTCTTTGCCTCACTTGTAGAGTAGGCAGCCTGTGAGGTTTAAGACGTCTTTGGGGCTCTAGAACGACTTAATAAGGGAGGCTTTTTACTCACTGTTATTTTTTTTTCCTCCCTGCCTGAAACACCCTTGACCATCATAACGCCATCAGACAACCTGAGACCATGAAGCGCCTTCCAGAAAACCAACAGCACTGACGACGTACAAGTAAGACAGAAGGACATCATCTCTGCTGCTTGCATGGGGGCACCATAGTAGCCATACTCTGCCCTTCTCAGTATCTTACTTCTCAATATCTGAGTGGAAAATAGCTGGCTTGCCTTTTTTTTTGGAGAGGGTTTTGCTATAGGGCATGTGCGCTCACCAGGCAGAGAGAGACAGAGAGACAGAAAGCGAGAAATCACCACCCACCCACGGGGGATGGTCCCCTGCAATCCCTTCTCCTCCATTCTCCTCTCGGGATCTTGGGCATGCATGCATACGTGCCCGGCATAAGTTTTAAGCCACCGGGTCCAGGACGTGAACCGCGGTCGACTACATGGGAGTCCAGTGACATAGCCATTATGCTAACTGCTGGTTCCCTTGCTTTTTTAAGTTGTTGCCATTTGAGTTTCTGTTATAGCAGCCAAACATTTCTAATATACACATACACATACAAATACCAAACACAGGTAAGATGCAACTGAAATCTAAATAATTAGATTGAATATCTTGTGTATTGAAGGCAAAATAGGGAAGGGATTCTGCTCGCCAAGAACAGAGTACAAGAGCCCCAGCTAGCCTACCACTGGGGAAATGGGGGGCAGGGTGAGCTCCTATTATTTAAGGCAGACGTCCCTGGAGCTGATTCAGGTGTCCGTGCCCTTAGGCTAGCCTTCCCCATTTCCAAACTCATTTGGACTCAGTGCTGGATATTACTAATTAAAGGAAGGTTTTATTTTGCTTTAAGGGAGGGGGTAGAATAGGATCTGTCTGTTTTGCTTGCTGACATGTAAGCACTAAGAACAGGAAAATCTTCTTAACCAAAAGGTCTATTTGATTATATAAACACTGGAAATGTTTCTAGGGAAAAACTATATCATAAACAGAGTCAATAAAATCTGATGCAGTAAGGGCTTTAATAAAGACTGAGCAAAGTTAATTTCTCTGATATAGTAAGAGATCTTTACAATCAAAAAGAAAATTTTTTAAATAGCATGCATAATTTTGTAGAAACGGCCAATAAACATGGAGTCAGGGCAAGGTCCTGGGAAGCACAGCAAACACTGAGTACAGAGACCACATATCCTGAACAGAAAGTCACAGGCTGATACCAGACTCCCCTTCTCCACAAGGGAGTTCAGTGACCATGGGTTGTATTCTGAGGGAAGGACAGTCAAAATATTCATTTCAAGCATTTTATCCAACTATCACTACTAACAATTGTAAAGTTCTATTAGATAAAGACTTGTCCTTCTCTCTAGACTCCCAAATTAAACCAATGGAACTTCCGAACCTTTCTTAACTTCTAAAACGCACAAAAATAAATAACATGTATACAGCTCAGTGGAGAAAAAGCAAAGCTGCAGAGGCTGGGAGTGAGCTCCTTAGGGCTCCAACCATCCTACAGATGGAGGGAATCAGACCTGAGAGCATCTGTTCAGTTGTCCTTTATTCAAGTCCTTTCTTGCATCATAAAAAGCTTGTCTCTGGAGCCCTGACCTTTAGAGGACATTTGATATCACACACACACACACATACACACATACACACACAAAGTCATCAAAATATTTTGTGAGTATGAAATCATAGCTTTATTATAACATGATGTCAAGAGGAAGAGATGCATGTCCAGGCTGAGCATCTGGTCAATCAAACACAAAGTTCCTCCCAGGAATCTCTATGAGTCTCCGTGTTCCCTGCCAACCCATGAATTAGATGATTTGGATGAGAGGGTGTGGAAAGAGGGAAACATCAGGCTGGAGCAGGTTCTTGACCATCCTTCCCCCGATAGTCCTTGCAGGCTCAGCTCAGCAGCAGCCCCCAGATCCATGGCAGCAGCCAGAGCCTCCTGAAGGCTCACACTCGCAGCAATCAGAGCTCTGGTGCCGGCGGCGCCGGTGGAAGAGATGGGGCCTGTGGTGACTCAGGCAGCAGCCGCCACCCCCAGCACTGCACCAGCCCCCAGAGCTGGGGCCACAGCAACCCCCAGAGCTTGAGCCACAGCAGCCCCCAGAGCTGGGGCCACAGCAACCCCCAGAGCTGGGGCCACAGCAGGAAGAGACTGGAGGGGGACATGGGGCTGGGCACTGGGGTGGACATTTAGGAGGACACTTTGGTGGACACTTTGGGGTGCACTTGGGGGTGCACTTGGGAGGGGGTTGGCACTGCTGCTGGTTCTGCTGGCAGGACATCTTGGCAAATCAGTTGACCTAAGAAATAGTAATAAAACTCTTTAAATATTTCAAAACAAAGGTCACAACTATTTTTCTTTTAAAAGTCACTATGTATGTAGAAGAGGAATGATATTTAGATCCTGCAATTACTTCAGAAACCTGAAAGAAACAACTTGATTCTTTCCTTAAGATAAATGTACTTTATTAAAAGTCAATAGAATGGGCTCCTTGATACTTCTCTCTTGAGAAATCCTGGGAGTGCTCCACACCCACAAGCCTATATAAGGTACTTACAACCGCTAAAGTGTCCTTTCTAGTAATACAAGTGTCTCCAAGTAATATTGCAGAGACATCCAAGAGTGCTCTAGACATGTTTCACAATGAGCACTCCAGAACAAAAAGCCTGTGTGAAGGAAGTATTTGCCAACTTCTGTGTTGTAAATGTTCCTGACATGGCTGTTTTCAAGCTACCAAAGTAAAGCCACTGGATATAGAGTTGGAAAAGATGCCCATGGTTAGCTCCTCTAGCCTAGCTGAGTCAGTAGTAGCAAACCCCAGAGGTAAAGGGATTAAACACGACTCTTACTCCTGCTCAGTATGGCAGAAACCAAACACACAACTCTCCACAGCCTCCCCCAATCCTAGTCATCCCTCCTCCGTCTTGCTCAGCCCCTTCTGTTCTCCCAGGTTTCCACTTACCCTGGTCACACACAGGAGCACAAACAGGTCCCTGGGAAGTCAGAGCACATGAGGATGCGATGCTGGAGCTGGAGCTGTCTTTTATAGGCCCAGCTTAGCTCTGGGAGGAACAGGATGAGGCTCTTGCACAACCAGGCATGTGCTGGGTCATTCCTGACATTCCCTTGCCTCCTTGTCCTGGCCTCTCAGGGGGCTTCCATGGGGCCTTTTCCCCAGGACCCTCCTATGAGGCTCGGGTCTAGGAGGCTTTAGCCAGTCACAGTCCCCCACAGGCCAGAGCCCTGTAAGTTTGACATAGGTCACGTGAGGCACCAGTGGCTGCTCTAGGCTCTATTCCCTTCATCTCCTTCTGTGCATGTCCTAATGGAAATATTCCATTCTGATTATTCCCCACTCTGAGAAGTTTCTTTCATGTCCGCTGTACATCCAGCCATCCCGGCCTCAAGTCGGGTTCATGTCCTTCTAGGGATCTACTCCTTGCCTAGTCTCTCGGTCCTTCATTTTCATCTTCCTCATACCCTCTATAAAAATTAGATGAGTGGATTAGATATAAATTTATCGTTCTGTCTATAGTAAGGAGGGTGCTTGAGAATGAATAATTTCCTCTAACCAGAGGGATTGTATTAAATCTGTGACTTAAGTCAGAAAATCTGCAATTCACCAACTAGGTAATCTTTGGAAATTGCTAGAAAACTAGGAGTGTCAATTCTTATATATATAATGAGCATGATGAGTTGTTCTGAATATTAAGTGAAAAGTGGGAAAGGGCTTAGCACAATATTTTGTGCCTGATAAATACTGACTAAGTATGTATAGAAATAGAAACTTAGTAGAGAAGCCAGCAGTTGGCATAATGGCTATGTTGCTGGACTCCAATGTAGTTGACCACAGTTCGAGTCCCACTGGACCTGGTGGCTTAAACTCATTCTAGGTGCGTGTGCATGCGTGCCCAAGATCCTGAGAGGAGAATGGAGGAGAAGGGATTGAGCGTAGCCATCTCCCCTGGGGAGTGATTTCTCGCTTTCTGTTTCTCTGTCTATGTCTTTCTGGTGAGTGCACACAACCTATAGCCAAAACCTCTCCAAATAAATAAATAAACAAACAAACAAACAAACAAACTTAATAGAAAAACTAATGTGGGACCAGCAAGTGGCACAGTGGTTAGGATTCTGGTTCAAGTTCCAGATCTAGCAACTTAAAAATCATTCTGGGTGGGTGTGCTTACATGTCCAAAGTCTCAAGAGAAGAATGGAGGAGAAGGGACTGTGGTGCAGCAATTCCCCTCTGGAGGGTGATTTATCACTTTCCCTTTCCCTGTTTCTCTCTCTCTCTCTTTCTCTCTCTCTCTGGCAAATGCATGCACTCTATAGCAAAATAAATAAATAAATAAATAAATAAATCTTTCAAAAAAAGGAAAAAAGAAAAGCTAATACCATTCACTGGAATCATGCCCAGATGTTATGTCCAATTGAATATTACATAGAACCCCTGCCCTTAGAGATCTTAATTTAGATATTCAAATGACTTGATAACTTCCTTAGTAAGTATAAATTATTTCTTGGAGCTTATATAAAAAGTGAACTCATTTCCTGCGAGGAAGGAGATGGTCAACCAGGGATTCATTTATTCAAAATTTAGATTCTGGGTTTCACCAGATAGATTTACCATTTATTTTAAACAAATAGATTGAGAATAAGCCTTTAAAACATGCTAAATTTTCCAGTGAAGGAAACCTAATAAAAAAAAAGTATTGTATAATTCTATTTCTGTGAGATGTCTAGAATAAGTAGATCTATACAAATGAAAAGCAAGCAAGTGGTTTTCAGGTTCTGGGAAGGGTTGGAGCACACTGGGGAATGACTGCTAATGGGTATAGCTTCCCTTCAGGGGTGATAAAAATGTTCTAAAATTGTAGTGATGATTCAATGTTGTAAATGTACTGAAAAACAGTGAATTTACATTTTAAGAGGATGGACTATGTAATAGGGAAATCCTATATCAATAAAGATATTAAAAAATAAATAAAATGAAAGTTGAAAGAAAGATACATTAATGTTCCTGATTAACAAGGAACAATCAGTCCTGCCCTTACATTACCTAAGGCCTAATTGGTGGGGGGAGGATGGGTAGAACATGTAGTTTTCTATTGTCTGCTTCTAAATGAAAGAATCTATTTTCCTATGTGTCCAATACAATTTTCAGACCTGGTTTCCACTCTCTGAGAGCTTCTAGTTAAAGGATAAATAAATCAACAATGTGACCCAAGCATTTAATTCAAAAGGCATTTTTTAAAATGTCTACAACATTTTCAGCGCATGCTCATCCAAATATGAGGATGTAGAGGTGAATAATTCTGTAGTCCTTGAGGTCATGGGCCATTATTACACATGTTCCCAGTGTGTCTTGGTCTCTATCAGCCTCTTTTCTATTTTTTATGTAGTATTTAGTGGCCTTTCTGAAGATGATGATTGAAAAATATGCATGCCAAAGAAGGTGACGTTCTGGGCCTGAACTTCCTGAGTCACTATTTCCCAATTGGATTGGAGCACATTGGTTCATTCCACTGTCTTCATGGTGATATCATCCTCAGCTTCCTCATTCTCTTTGACAAAAATGTTTGTGACAATGAGATAAGTAGAGAAATAAGGGAAGCCAGGTTGTGTGTGTGTGTGTGTGTGTGCGTGTGTGTGTGTGTGCATGTGCATGAATGTATGTATATGCTTCACTTACACAAAGGGTAGGTGAGCATGAGTACACACATATTGAAGAGTCTGGATTGAGGGGCCGAATAAGAGATAGAAGAACTAATGGGAATACATCTTAGGGGAACCAGAATCCAAGCATAAACAGCTCTTTAATGTGTCACCTACATCCTTTTCTATCTCAGAAAGTGTGGGGAATTGGCTCATGAGTTAGTGAAGAGACACATGCCTGTAAGCATTCTTGCTTCTCTATCTACAGTCCTGACACCATCCTGTGTGATCCCTCCCAGAAGGAGAACCTTTATCTCATTGCCCAAGTTCTCTCAAGGACTAGTCAAATGCTAAACTATGGAATGAGTGTTGGTTGGATGAATTAATACATGATCCTGGGGTCACATGAATGAGAAAATTGAGCATCATGAGAAACAAGGCCTGATGATGATTTCAGAAACTTCATTTGAGGTTCACCTTTTCTGGAAAATTGCTCACCTGCAAGCTATCTTCTTAATTTGTCTCTCTAAGAACTTAAATTCAATATACTCCAGAAAATTATTTCCCACAAATACTGGAACTTTAGCCACAGTCTGGGAAAAGCTTTCCCACATTCCTTGGTTTATCTGTCTCATCTGCTAATAAACTCACTAATCTGAATTTTTTTTATACTGTATCTTGGTAGCCCTTTTGATCTTCTTGTCTATACTGGTACTGACTGGTCCTAGCCCCAGGCTCTACTCCCAAAAGTGTTAAGTATGGAGATAAAGGCTTATGAAACTATACTTTTCCAAAAAGTTAGATACATGAATCTCATAGATATGTAGTAGGCACATATCAAAGATTCATTTCACTCATGAATAAGGGAATTAGAATGCTAGTTCAGGGAAAGATTGGAGAAACCAATGTGTACACAGTAAGAGAGAAAAAAAATTACTTTAATGAGACTGCTAATTTAGATACAAAACTAGTTAAAGTTCCAAAGGGCAATGAAACCACTGGGTTATATTTTCTAATGTATACAAATAATTTTCAATTTATAAATCTTTTAAAAGTTATATCAAGCTTTGCAGAGTCTGGGCTTTACTAGTAAACATAATAAGTAAAACCATGCCAACAATTTTTTTTAATAAGGAAGTCATAAAAACTTTAAGCAAGGTTGTCAGTTACTAGTATATAGTAAAAATTTTAATGATTGCCAGAAATATATTTCTGCCCTAATTTAATTTTTTTTGATAATTTTTTAACCCCTAATTTCCTAACAAGAGATGGTTTCATGAAAGGTTAGGTTTCAGAACTCAGGTCCAGATTGGCTCCTTGCTAGTAATACATCTAGTCTATGGATTTCAGAGGGAGTGTCTGGAAACTCCTGTGATCTCCAGATGGTGAAGGGAGGAGACACAGCCTAAGTTTTCTCTAAAGGTTTGTCCAGGAATTTGTCTTTGTCCTAAATGAACTAGAATTATCATTTCATATTCCCAGTGTGTTCTGCTCACTATCAGCTACTCTTCTATCTCTTAAGTAGTATTTCTAATGACCTACACTTAGTCTTTTAGTCCTTATAATAGTTAGTTAATATTTTATGTCAACTTGGCCAAGCTATAGCACAGAGTTCTCTGATCAAAC